AAAAAAAAAAAAAAAAAAAAAAAAAAAAAAAAAAAAAAAAAAAAAACAAAGAAAAAAAAAACTAATTCTTGATTGAATATTTTATTGTGCAGACGTTTGTCAAAAGGCAAATAATCACATAATGATCCCATATTTTGTCAATGGTAGGAATGCAGCATTCACTACGTAACAGTGCTTAATCGCCAAAACTCAAGTGTCCAGAGTTTTAATTTATATTTATTTATACATACATTGTGGTAATTCTTACAAAAACTACTTACAAAAAAGTTAATTCTTGATTGAATATTTTCTTGTGCATACATTACTCAAAGGACAAATAATCACATCATGAATGCAGTGAGCATTAACTTCGTAGCAGTGATGTAAAAAATTTCACCGTAGACTTTGTATTGAATGAATTTAACCCCCAAATGCATTCATCATTGGTGATTGGCAGTAGGAATAAAAATTAATTTCCTAAAATAGGAATATAAATTCACTTTTAGAGGACTTAATTTCAATTGTCAGAACGAAAATATGCTAGTTTGTTTATCAAAATGCTATGTCAACATACCGGCAACATGAGATTTGCAAACTAGTCAAAGGATAAAAACTCTGTACTTTTGTTTTTCAAGGGACCAAAACAAAATACGAGCATTTCAGAGTACTAAAACTAAAGAAGTGGTAAAATACAGAACTACAAAAAACTACTTTTGGCTGATAGAAGTTGTACCTTTTCCAGCCTCGGCTCCTGCGTTGCTTGTCTCGACCCATCAGATTTGCCGTGGCCAATTTGTACTTTAGCAATGTCAGTCCCACTGAGCCTGTCCATGGCAGGTTTCAACTCATCTTTCCTAAGCGACCTGACGAGCTGTGCCAGGTCAGCAGGCGCCGGGTCGACGAGATCTCGTCTGCGACCGGAGATATATTTCCAGTCTGCAGCTGCCGCGGCCAGACGAGTCACACAAGCGTCGATTGTGTCCTCAATGGCATACACAGCTTTCTTGATTTGCCTTTCAACTTCCCTGAGTTGTGGCTTTATTCGACCTTGTTGACTCGGGCTCCAGCAAAGTCTCGAAAGACATTAGATCGTCCATCAGCAGCCAGAGCTCCTCTTCCGTGTCGGAGCCTGAGAGAAGATCGGCATGTGACGTCAGCAGCCGCGACACGTTTTCCTCCAGGAAAATCACCGCGCCATACGCCATCTCTAACGATAATTATTATCAATATGAATGAGAGAGCAAAGAATAACTATTTGGCAGGTCCAATTATTCTTCACATACTCTTGATCAAAGGTTATCTTGGTTTTCCTTCCTTTCGCTCTGTGTTTCTTTTCAAGAGATGCAGTGTTTTTTTTAATTGGATTAGTCAGATAGTGATCTGTATCAATTTTACTTATATGCAACTTGATACTTAGTCAATTGTTACTAAATTACCACTTGTACACTATTTTGGTAAAGTCCTCATAACCAGCCGTTTCGAGATAGTGGGCCAGCATGTCAGTCCTGTTAGACCACCTTACCAACTGACGGAAGAAGAAGGTTGGCAAATCCTGCGTTTAAAAGTATTCGGGCAGCAGCTCCAGGACTGCCGATTCTACTATTGATGATAGCTGGGATTCTAGACGATGTCGGGAGGCTGAGGGAGCTCGATAATCTGAAGCTACTTAACGACATCCACTCTATTTCGCCTTCTGAAGGCCTCCCTCCACCCGGAAAGTTCCCTCCGAGGCAGAGGATTCTGACACTATCTGCTACATTACTCGGTTGGGAGCAAATGTCAGTATTGGGGCTTCTCGAGAGTCTTGAGGTGCTTAAGCTGAAGGACAATGCACTTGTGGGGCCATGCTGGGAAGTTGTCGAGGCTGGTTTTCCTCTGCTGCATTTCCTGCTGATCGAGCACACGGATTTAATTAGCTCAAGGAGATTACTTTACTCGGCTCACGTGACATGTCTCACGCTTAGAAACTGTGAAGAACTAGAAGCTCTGCCTGATGGACTGGCAGATATACCAAGACTTGAGGTGATGAACTTGCACCGTACAAGCAAAATGGCTGTCTCGTCTGCCAGGAAAATTCAAGGTGACACAAGGAACCTGAAGCTTTCCATATTCCCCATTGATGAATGATCGAGCAACTTGTTCGTTTGGTTTTTTCTTTGTTCCTGTTCTTGTCTCCTTGTTTAATTGGATTCTACCATTTCTTTTTGTTAATTTTATTTACGAATTCCTGGAACGTTACAGTTGTTTTGTGATCTTTTCTAAATGCAATAATACTAGACACATGGTTCGCAAAACATCTATCCGGGCATCTTTAAGACACCATGGTAATATATTATAATATCTGAAGCTAAAGAACAAGAGTTTTGTCGTTGGTTTCTTGCAAGGCTTAGTCGGATATACACAATAACAGGATTTAACGGTACTTAATTGTTCATTTTTTGCACTAAAGGGATTTCTGATCTCGTCATTCATCAACTATATGGAGTACATATTAGACAGATGGGATTTGGCTTCTTATGAATGCACAACTTTATCCTCTCATTAAATCAAATTACGACTTGAGACTTAATTAATCAGTATTGGTTAAGGGGAGGCTAAATTAATTTATTGTTAACGAATAACTTGAACACTATTTTATATACTTGTTTTCATTTTTATGGGAACAACGTTTACATTCTTTTCTTCTTTGACCGCGCGTCGCAACGCGGCAAAATTATAATTTATATTTTCCTTAACAGACTTCTACCAACTAGTAGTAGTAGTGAGCAAGGGTCGATCCCACAGGGAGTGTGAATCAAATCGTGAATTTTCTCGTATTAATTGAATTATAAAAGCAATAAAAGAGGGGAGATTTTAGATTTAATAACTAAAATAATTAAAATCCTAATAAAATAAATAAAATCTAAATAAATAAAATAAAAATAAAAATAAATAAATTAAGAGAAAACTTCTAGTTCACGGTTCCGTCTACACCCTCGACCGACTCGTCTAATCAACTTTGGAATCAAATCTCGCTATCTTATGAAATTACTAGCCCTAGGCAACGACAGGTCTGTTACCCGAATTTTTCCTTAATTTTAATTTAACCACGAGACGCTCTACGATTAAACCTGACTTCTTATACAGTCCAGAAAAACGTTTTCAAGATTTAATACAATTAGCCGCTTTACGAATTAGAAAAATAGGATAGACTAAGTAGTGAACTCAACCGCGTTCGTTAACTTAATTAGGCCGTGTTATCTCCGGTAGTTACCATCTTCCGGTTACCTCTTATGAATTAAACACAACAACAGTTACGGATTGCAGGTCTAACTCAGATGTAGATATGAAAAGCCTAATCTAGGTAATCAATCTAAACAAGACTAACACATCATGGTGAATTATTCAAAATAACACAAGCAATTCCAAAAAGATATTGAAATTATCAACCACGTAAATTAATCAAACATCGTCAAGTCGTAGGGTTCAACATCACCAGAACTGAAATAAAATTTACTTTAACATAATAAATAAAATGGAAAAGATAAAATAGAGAGATTAATTAGTGTGTGTGCGGCCTCCCTCCGCTTCCGTCGGGCTCCTCTTGTCTGCTCTTTGTTCTCTGTCTTGCGGCTTTTTGTGGCGGCTTTTCTTTGGCGTGAATAATCTGATGGCTGGGTGATGATGTCTCCCTCAAGTAAATGGCTGCCCTTTTTAATTCTTTTGTTGCGGCTGCGTAATTCCCTTCAAATTATGATGGGTCACTCCATTAAACCCCAAGTGGTCCCTCTAAGACAATATACTGGGCCTATTTCTCAATTCAAAATCCTCTCAAATTCATAGTAAAAGTGGCGTGAATGGGCAGCCCAATTGATGAGTCATTCGTATCACTTTTGGTTTAATTTTAACAATTGGGCTTAAACTTTGGCCAGTATGCGATCCTACAATGCTTCGTGTCCTCAAATTACTTCAATATCCTGAAAATAAACCATAAATATTTCATAACACTTAAATCCATCAAATAAATAAATAAATCTAAAAATATATAAGTGTGACAAAATTAAGCATATGATAATACGCTTATAAATATAAAGTACACACTTTTTCCGACCTATCATTCTTAGTCCATGTGCATACTCTATACCCTTTGAGTGCATGTGCCCAGAAAAAAAGATAAATTTCTCACTGCATCAGTTTCTTGTTATCTGTAGTGTAAGAGTCCCCCTGGTCTGAATTTGATGCATAGCAAGGCCCATGTAATTATCTTCCTCATTATTAGTTGCATAGAAATTCTTTTAACTAAACAGATATCTTACTCATGTCATTCACCAACAAACCAACTGCAAGTCACAAATTAAAATCGCAAAATGCAGAACACTGAAACCTCAGATGCCATGCGAAAAACCAGACGTCACGATTTATGCTTGCTATCATCATCCCTTGAGGAGTGAATGTGAACTCGACATTGATCACCGCAATCACTTCTGTTTCCTAATAATTTTCGAGCCCAAGCCTCAGTTGTTGTGCTGCAACCCTGCACCTCCAACATTTCTTGCGGCACTTTTTCATCCAAATTGATGTCCTCCAGTTTGTAGCAGTGCCTAATAATAAGGCATTCGAGTGCCGGGAGGCATCCATACCTATCAGCTACCAAGCACTTGATATCCAAGTCTTCCAGCAGCAAAAATCGTAGCCTTGAGAAACCCGACTCGTTTAAGACGCAGACAGGGCCACAGAAAGCATAGCACCGCAGTTTAAGCACTTGAAGATTAGGCAGTCTAGCAATCACGCTCATATACTCCCACGGAAACCCGCATCCACTCAAAGTTATTTTACTAATGTTGATAGGGAAAGACGGAGTTACCAAGGGAATGCCATGAGAGGCAAGACCACGTCTCACGAGAACACATTTGAACGACTCAAACTCATCATAAAGATGTGCAAAATCACCGAAAGGATTGAAGATCTCAGACGTGCCGGGTGGCGGCTCGATTCTTATTCCAACTTTTGCCAGCTTGGGCATCCTAGCAAGCACTCCATGCGTGCAACTGTGGGCGCTCACGCCCGAAAGCGTGACAAGGTTTTCGAGGAGAAACGAACCATCTAGCCCAACGGAAGAAGGATCCGGAAGGTCGTATCCCGTGCATTGGAGGTGCCTCAGCTTGTCCAGGTACCAAATTTCCATCGGCAGATAGCTAACCGGAGCATAAACTGATTTGACAACACGATGCCGTCGGACGATAAAGACTTGGAGGTTACGTAGTCTGGAAATCGACTTTGGAATCTCGCCCTCGTACGTGATGGCAAGGTACCTCAGCCGGACGAGACAGAGCACTTGGTCTGGGAACTCGTAAAAACGAAGAGCAACCGAATCCAGCACGCGAAGCAGCTTAAAAGGCCGGAAGTCAGCCTCTACCGGGTATTGATGACGTGGACCGTAGCAGAGAAGAGAGCGTTTAGACGACGGAACTACAGATTCAGATTCCAACACCATGCGAACTTGCTTGAAGCCGAGTATAATGTTGTTATGGAAGCAGAGCCTCGGCTGGCGGCGAATGCCCCGAGGGAAGCTATTGGCGTGCAACTTGCTTATCACGTGGCAAAACTCATGGTCACGGGCCACAGCAACGCAAAAACACCGATAGACGACATGAACACGGCAAGTCTTGGCCCCACCAACCGATCTCCGGTCCCGAACCAACACGAGGCTCTTGGCGACAAGCTCGTTCAGATAGCCGTCGGCTGTTGCCTCCAAGCTGCGGGAACTCGACCTCCCTTTTTCAACGAATCCCTCAGCAATCCAGGCTTGGATGAGTTTAGACGTGCGAATCTCTGTACCTTTCGGGATTAGTCCCATATACAGAAAGCAATTTTTGAGATGTGTAGGAAGACTTTGGTAACTCGAACTCAGCGCGGCCGAGAGGCCCTTGTCGTTGAACAGGCTGTCGCTTTCTTCAAGCGCCCGCCATCTCTCGGCCGTCCTTTCTTCACCACGCAGGAGCTTCCCGACGTGGAGAATCGCAAGCGGAAGCCCCTCACAGCCGCTCGCGATCATCCTCCCGGCCCTCTCGAGCTCGTAAGGGCAGTCGTGACAGCTGGCGCCGAACACCGCCCGGCGGAGCAGCTGCCAGCTGGCGTCGTCGTCCAGGAACGGATCCCTAAGCACGTGATGGGGCGAAGCACGCAGAGCGCCCACTAGATCGGCGTTCTGTGTCGTCACGAGGATTCGGCTCCCGTTGCCTTCGTCCGGCAGCGCGCCTTTAATCTGGTTCCAGTCCGTGAGGTCACTCATGTCGTCCAGCACGATAAGGTACCTGGTGCCCGACAGGTGGCTGCGCAGGTGGCCGCTCATGACCTCATTGTACGACGGATCTTCTTTATTTAGGAAGGGTCTGTGGAAAGGCAGCAAGTACTGGAATATGTCCCCCCGGTAGGTCCTGACGGTTGCCCAGCCGTCTAGCCGGTATTCACGGCCCCATCTATCGAAAATCGTGAAGCGGGTCACGATGTCCGGGTCGCGGCAGATGCATTTAGCGAGCGTCGTCTTGCCTATGCCGGCCATCCCCACGACCACGACGACTCGCCGTTTAGGGTCTCGGCTCAGAAGCATCCCTTTGAGAAGCTCCAAGTTCTTCTCCTGTCCCACAACCTCTCCCATCTCAAACCTATCATTTCTCCAGATTGTTCTCATAGTTCTTAATATTACCCTGCAATCAAATTAGNGATGGGTTATGAAAAAGGGCAGCTAAATTGATTGTTTAACGAGCAACTTGTGTGTGTGTTTATTTATTTTTTTCGTTACAAAAACGAGCAACTTGTGCATTATTTTGTCTTCTTTCCGTCTTTTTCACCGAACAAGTTGTCATAAACAAACAATTCAAAGTCCAAATTTTGAATTTTGATCAGAGAACGTGTATTGATTAATGGGAGGATATGTTAATTTATTGTGAATCAAACCAAAGTTGTACCTACTTTTTATACTTCACTTTTTATGGGAACAAGTAGTACATTTTTTGTAAAATTGCATATATAAAAGCACTACTTTTCATGCCTTAAGTATATATTAGCACTTTAAGTACATAACCTTTTGCTTCTTTGCTAATCGAATCATGCCTTCTACCTCCGGCACCAATAGAGCTGACGTGTCTCGTCGGAATACACATTTGGAATGTTCAAAAAAAGAAAAAAAAAAATTTGAATTCCATGTCGCCCATTCTCGTAATAACACATGGACTAAAAGAAAAATAAAAAACACAAAATCCACGTCCCCTTCTCTCCCCTAAATCAATTATTTAAGTCTCCCGTCACAAAGTCACACACACAATCGAATCCTAATTTTGATCTTCAATTTATGTGAAGATGGCGAAATTTCTATGAAAATTGCAAAATTTCTGTGAATCATATGCTCTTCAACTTCTGTAAACTTTCTCCACGGCCCTGAATTAGCACCCCAAAATTCCAATTCCTCTTCCCATACGAACCCTAATTATGTTTTCAAAATCCGCAATTTTTCCTGAAAATGTCGAGCGGATCTAGCAGTCGAACCACGACTCCTCAGCCTCGTATGTGTTTCCATAATTTGGAAGCGGAAATGCTAACCTCGAACACAGATGAAAATCCAGCTCGGAGGTATTATCGTTGTGTTAAGAGATTGCCTTTATAGAGGATTTTTTTAAGTTTCATTCTTCTTCGATTTGGGGATTTTTATTATTTCTGCAAAGCGACGTGGATTTCAATTTTAGTTTTTTAATTTGGTGCAGTCGACGTGTCAAAAAAAGACTGGGCAAAGTGGATTTGTATTTTTCTTTTTCTTTTTTTAATTCCATATGTGTATTCCAGCAAGCCACGTCATTTTATTGGTGCCGGAGATGAAAGGCGTGCTTCGACTTGCAAAGGGATGAAAGGTCATGTACTTAAGTGTTAATATGTGAAGGTCGTGATTAAAATGCAAAAACATAAAAGGTGATGCTTTTATATGCAATTTTGCCTACATTTTTAATACCTAGTCTAGACATGGCCAATGGGTCGCCCGGCCCGGACCCGGCACGGCCAAGCCCGTTGACTACGGGTCTTGGCCCAGACCGGTTTCTACACGGGCCGTTTCAGGGCCTTCATTTTGTCGACACCGACCCGGCGGGCCTGGCCGGGTCCGGTCCGACACGGAAAAAACCAGTTGCTTTTGAATTTTTTCTATTTTTTTTTTATTTTTTATTTTGGGGGCCAGACCCGGCACGGATTTAGGGCGTACCGGTTCAGGGTCGAGTTAACCCAACCCTTCGGCCCGCCGGGCCAGTCCCGACCCGCCATTTGGCCATGTCTAACCTAGTCCAGTAAAATCATGTGCCTAGTTAAATTTCTTACTAGAGCTGTTGAACTAAATGAGCCTCTTGTTAAATTGGCTCGACTTGTTAAGTTTGTTCTCGTTTAGTTAATGAATCAAGCTCGGTTCAAGCTCAGTGACATCCGTTAGGCTCCAATAATCAACCAACTTTTGTGTAACTTGCAAAACTAAATGTTTAGTATAGTTTGTCTCATCAAAACTTCGAGTTTGGTTCGTTAATTTTGGTAAGGGTAAAAAAAAAATTACCTCCCAAAGTATGTCATTTTTTAGAGTTTGCTATACAATCTTTATTTTTTTTTACAATTTACCTCTCAATGTAATCAAAACTGACAATTTGCCTTCTCTATTGAAAACCTTAATATGACACAAAAGAGTTTCTTAACTCCATTGATAAATTTTAAATTAATCTTTTAAATTGATTTAGGGCTTTGAAAGCCCATGGCGAGACGAACAAAATGAGGTATGTTTTGTCGATTTCTGAAAATTGATACTTCTAAAATCGATCCACAAAGATAGCAGGGATACGTGTGTATACAAAAAATGTCAATTCAAGTATTCTGATCATCAAGATATCCGATTTCCGATTGGGATGTGTCTTTTGAAAGCTTGGAGGACGAATTTTCTATCGAAGTAAATCTTATGAAAATTCAACGGTCGGATTTTAGTTGGTAGCCTAAAAAAAGCTAACTATTGATCAGTAGTTTTCTAAATACTGATCAAAATTCGACCGTTGGATTTTCATAATATCTACGTGTTAGAAAATTGGTCCTACTAGGTTTCAAATGACACCTCCCAATCAAAAATCGGATATCTTGATTATCAGAAAACTTGAATTGAAATTTTTATATACACACGTGCTCCTGCTATCTTCGTGGATCGATTATAGAGGTATCAATTTTCAGAATTCAACAAATCATACCTCATTTTGTTCGTCTCGCAATGGGCTTTAAAAGCCCTAAATCAATTTAAAGATTAATTTAAAATTTATCATTAATTGAGTTAAAAACTCTTTTGTGCCATATTAGGGTTTTCAATCGAGAAGGCAAATTGTCAGTTTCGATTATATTGGGAGACAAATTGTAAAAAAAAAAAAGTTAATATGGCAAACTCTAAAAATGACTTACTTTGGGAAGTTAAAAAAAAAAAAAATTCCCTTTGGATAAATCAGCCGAGCTGGAGTATCCAAGTTCAAGTATCAAAGAACTGTACGTAACGACATTGGGTAGGATGTCCTTCTTGGGCATTTCGTTGAAAAGTGCCAAGGCTGAGTCTATCATTCTATCCTTACACAAGCCGTCAATAACAATGCTATATATATATGCATTGGGCTTCAGTGTCCCTTTTTCCATTGTTCTGAGGAATTCAATGGCCATTGAGGTGTTACCAACCTTGCAAAGCCCGTCGACCACAATACCACAAGTTACAACGTTTAGCTCACAAAGCCCTTCTCCAACCATCTTCCTTATCAACTCTTGTGCTTCGTTAATCATCTTCTCTCGAAACAGGCCTTTCAGTAAGGTGTTGAAGGTATATCCATCCGCAGAACAGCCAAGCTTGAAGAACCAACCCAGAACAGAGAACCCGTAATCAACCCGGCCCGAAAGGCAAAGGCTGTTGATAGCAATATTCATAGTGTATTCATTGACTGAAACCCCTAAACTGCAGATGTCTTTGAAAAGGTTAATAGCAGCAGAGTACTCTTTCAGATTGACCACACGCGAGAGCAATTGAGTAAACTGAACAACACATGGTAGAGGCCTCGTTCTCGACATGTTCTCATACAGGCAAAGAGCATCATCCAACCCATTAATGTTCTTAATTTCTTCACGGAAATTGAATTTAGCAACAGCTCCTTTTGTACAGAAACAACGAGAATGTAGCGAGTATTGAGAGCAGCAGAGGGATTTACCTGATTCATGGCGAATTGGGGAAGAAGATAGAAATCGCCATAAGAAAAAGGCATAACTCAGCCTCATCATTTACTCTGTGCAGAGTTCTCTGTTCTATGCACAGATTTGCTCAACGGTTCAAACCTTATGATAATAAATAATAGGGAAAAGGGACATAGGCCCTCTCATGTTTGAAGCGTGGTACGACTACTCTACATAATTATTTCTAATTATTCATTAGTTATTAACTATTAGTTAATCTTCTGCATAGGCAGATATGTGAATAAAATTTTATAAATTATATTTGTATATATAATATTTAAAATTATTTGTTAAATAACGAGTATATCACATTTTAAAAATTTGATTATTAATAAAATAAAGATATGAATATAAACTATTTAACTTACATATAATTACTATATTGATTGTAATAATTTAATTTTTGCAATTTATACATTATATTATTAGTAAATTGGAAAATATAAACATAAACTATTTAGATTAAAAACATATGATTACTATATCACACGCCTTACACGCCCAAAACATAAGAATCACATAGCATACTGACTTGAAAGTTTTTGTGAGTTTTGGAATCCCAGTCTAGATATCTTCAAGATCGTCACCCACAAAGACGAACGGAGAATGTGTCGGGTCCTACAATTGAAGTCTCGAGGTAACTCGAGGCTGCATGGACCACAGCATGACTCCGCGCAACCCCTGCTACCACTGCAGCCTCAGCCGCACGGAGTTGCAACCGCAACTAGTGTGACCCGCACACGCACACCGCAGCAGCACGTGAGCGCACACAAGCCCAGCCACAATCAGTGACGCCCAACGATGCACAAGCACGACCAGGCGAGACGTCATTCCGTGCGAGCAGCGACCGAGCACACGACCAAAGGCGTGGAGGACGAAGGTGAGAATATCATCTCAGAACAGTTCGATCGGCCCCGTAGGCCGTGTAATTGTCTCAGAGTCTGCAAAAGTTTTTAACCGTAAGTGTTCAATCCTTACTTTAGTTCCACTGCGTTTAGGTTTACTTTTGCAGTTTAATTCGTGACTTGCATAAATACGACGTTCCTCATAGAACGCCAACAAGTGGTATCCGAGCACTTGATTTAATTCGTTTTTATGCAAAGTTTTGGATTTTTAAGGCTTGAGTGGTTCGTGCGAGTACAAGCGCAACCATAAATTGAATTATTGCATAACTTAGTTTTCCAGGAGTATATGAATCCATTGTTATGGCCGTAATTGCTTGTTTAATTATTGCACCTTTTTAAAGCCTCAGACATGCCGAGAAATTTTTGGGTTGTGAATACTTGTAAGAGTTTATTCACATAGTGGGACAACATATAGATTTACTATTTTTGTAGATGAGAATGTAAACTCATCCATGGGTCTAGGATCAAATTTTTTGTACTTATTTTTTATCGTGTTGCCTGTGGATGATCTCGGGCAATCAAGATGATCAAGGAACCTCGACGACCCGACCAATCACCGCTCGACATTGTTCGTCCCTGAACAGCAAATAAGCAAAAACAAACCCTGTGCATGAATAGTGATTCTAAACAGGAAAAGCATCAAGTCACTCAAGTAATCAAGATAAATTCCAGTAATCTCAAATACATATGCCTCAATTCTTAACTTGATAAAACCTTAAATTAATTTATATATGTATAATAAGAATTAACATTTTTTAAAAATAGTAAGCAGAAAAATAGGGAATATTAATTGCATTCTATTTTTGGTATGTTTTTTTATTTTTTTAATAAAAGAACAAGTAGCATTTAATACTAGCATAAATCATGGAATTTGTTATATAGATGTATATTTAAATTTCAAACTTCAAACAAAACATGCTTAAATGTATTTTGAATTTTTTAGGTGAAAAATTTAGCAAACACGTTTAAGATTACATACAATACATATTTTTATATGTTATCTTAACATATAGGTTAATTAGTTTCATATCTAAACAATATATATTTAAACAATATATAAACAAATATAACAATTTTTCGTACAATCTATATATATATAATAAGAATTACCATTTATCAAAAATAGTAAGTCAATCCTTGGTCAAAACTGGTCAACATTAATTACATGCCATTTATAGTATCTTTTTAAAATCTTTTTTAATAAAAAACGGACACCTTTAAATGTTATTATCCTTAAAATGAGGAGTTTGTTACTTTTTTATTTTCAAAAAAGTGGGCTGCTATTTAAATTTGGTCTATTGAATATTTGCGATGATTTGACACGATGTGCATATCAAAAGCTGATAATGTACGGGCTGCATCAATTAAATTTGGTTATTGGTTGCGAGAAGCTATTTTTAAATTTGAATAAAAATGTACATCACAACTGCTAATTCAATTAAATATCGGCCAATTATATTCTTCAAATTTAAAAGATGTGAAAAAAAACTTATAATAACCCTATTGTTTTTTAGACTTAACGTTGATTAAAAGAGGTAAAAAATAGATAATAATCCTATTATTTTTTAGACTTAAACGGACAAAGGTGTGAAAATAACTCATTTAATATCTTTGTCCCGTGCATCGCACGGGGTACGTACTAGTGTAGATAAATTTGGACATATTAAATACATATGATTCATTCTCTTAGGTTTCATCTCTAGCCTACCCGACTTGGTTGGGACTAAAGGCTATGTTGTTGTTGTTGTTGATCCCTAAAATGAAAGATTTTATTCCATTAAAAAACATAAAATATGAACTTAAGATGTAGATTTTATTATGCCCGTGTGATAATATAATTTTACATGCTATGAAAGTCATATTGTTTACCTGTGCATTGCACGGGCTACGCACTAGTGAACTCTCAAATAAGGTCAAATATATATGAGCCTCACTCAAATATCTTGTTAAATATCATCTAGAAGGGCACGCTCAAGTTAGTTCGAAGCACAAGGTCAATCATAAGCTTGTAAATCGTCTAAATTTTACTAAATACAACTAATGTGCATGAGCTAAAAATCAAAAGGTCTTTTGAATTGTAATTAGCGTTGCCAAAACTGGCCGGGGGCGGGCCGACCCGTAACCCGCCAAAGCCCGCCTTTTGGTGGGGCGGGGCCGGCTGGCCCGCCAGGATGTGGAAAGCTGGTTCAACCCGCCCCGCCACGGGTCGCGGGCTCGGTGGGCCA